TTTTTCTCTAGCCGCTTTTTTTGTACCAGTATCTCTTTGTTTAGGGATTTTCTACCACCAGCACCACCTGTGCCTCTTTTTCTTCCAAACCACAAGACAACACTTAGCTTGAATTAACCAATACCACCAGAAACTCTGATTTTCAACAAATGTTGAAAAATTTAGTTTAAAAAAATAAAAAGATTCCAGAATATTTATAGCGATTTTCAAGCACTAACATTCTATAAAGAGAGGTGTGTCCGACTAATAGATCTTTGTTGTGTCTATTGCACATGTTATTATTAATGTGTCATCTTTCAGATGTCCGCCTCTCAGAGTGTCAGAACCAGCAGCTGTCAGTTCTCTGCTCACAGCTTGTTTTTTATCTCCCCAGCAGGTCCATGGTTGGATGCTTCTCTGCGGGCAATAAGAGGACCTGCAGGCTCTATTTTCAAGAACCCAGCAGCGCAGCTACATCGCAGTCAGGTGCATTTTGCCAAATGTGTCGGGAACGTGCCAAACACACCTTTGGTAATTTTGTTACCAGACTCTTGGTGCAGCTATAGCACACTCTGTGCAGAAGGTGGGATTAAACATAACCATTTGTTATAGGTGGGTGCGTTACAGGCTGTGTCAATCACATTTACTACATACTGTCACTTTAATCACAGAGCTATTCCCGTCATGACGCACTGACGGTTTGGGAATCTTTTGAAGAGTTTTGCTTGGAGGAAACTAATTGTTCTCTCGGTCTTGGGACAGAAAGTATTTTTTTAAGTTGAGTTTTACACCGGAACAATCTCTATCACATTATTTTTCTCATCCCAGCCACGCATCTAGCTCTACTATCATACAACATGGAGACCAGTGGATCTGCTGTGTGTAATTGTGGCTCGAGAGTGACATCATTGTTAACAAAACTGACTTGCAACAATAATTGTACACAACTTTTTTAATATTTTTAATATTTTTATTTCTGCTGCCTGCCACTCTAGTATGGAGGTTACCCTTTTTCACGGAGGAAATAGTCCCTAAGTCTCCTGTAAAGTGCAGCATACTTACATCATGCATTAAAATACCTAAACCCATTGTTATCTATGTGTGTAAGTCTGCACAAAGGAGATACCCTGACCTTTCTCTGTCAGATGATTGTGGGATAACCAAGTCAACAACAGGGTGCACATCATTGTCCTATTTCGTAGCTTTGATGCATTTCTACTACATAGAAGCAACAACTGTGTCCCATTTCCTCCACTAATGAGCGCATTCTGTCAGCTGTACCTTGACAACTTCCTCTGTTGCATTTGCTGTGTGTGTTATGGTAGTCAGCTGACTCGTGTCATCCTGCAGTCACACAGGTCAGGATGCTGCCATTGTGCAGGCTTGCATACATAGATAACAATAGGTGCAGGTAGATTGATGTGTGTTGCCCTTTACTAAATAATGCCTATAACTCTTCTTGATGCACAGAATTACAGCTTTTGCATTTTTGTCATTTATTTTATTGTAGCTTTAACTTAGTGTATGTGTGTCCCTGACTGTTAAAAATGTACTGAATCAAAATGCAAAGTAGAAACAAGAGCCAAGACTTCGGAGTGCAGTCCTGTCTGGTTCCTCTTGGAATGATACTGCAAAAATACTAATAGTTAAAGTAGGCCGAGTATGGGTTTTTGTTTGCAATGTGCTTTGAAACAGGTGATAGTCTTTTATTATTATACTGGTACTGCATATTATTTTTGTTTTCCCAGGCAGAGGTGTATACGATGCAACCTAGGGACCAACACAAACCCCAAGTCTTTCTCAGCACGTTCGAAAAAAAAAGGATAAACCGGTTTCTTTCAAGCTCCAGGAACTCCGGAGCAGACTGTGAATGGTATCTTTTATTTATGGACGGCGTCGGTGTGATACATAAATAATTTCTTCAACAGGGTATCGGGGGCTTGCAGTGCCAATCCCAGCCGTGGCGGATTTGCAATTTAGGTGTGGCACTGAAGGCCAGTAGTGCTGGATTTGGCATTGAGAAAAAAATAGACAAGAGCTGTGATCGTGTGTGACACTGAATAGGATTACCATCTGTAGCCGAAGAGCCGATTGCTGCCCTGGATTGTATTAAAATGAGGGGACATCAGATTGGTTTGTGGTCGTGACAAGAAAGCAGATTTTGTTTTATAGCTTGAGCACGGTGCTTCTAAATAGTCCTGCTTAAAGCTGCATATGCATTTCAGATACTGATTTTAATTCAGATTTTGTTGCAATGGTTCAACTGCAATTACAACCTACACAACGTTTCTGGTGTAAGAGCTCAGTGATACAATGATGGTTTCAAATCAAATACGTGACTTGTACCTTTTTATGATGGGAATTTATTTTTCACATCTTTCTTGGGCTAATGGATGGAGGCAGAAAGGAGGCATTGCTTCCTGTTAAGTCTGTTCCATGAACTCTGAAAGGGCAGTAGGGAGAAAGTATTTCCATTATGTTCCAACAGAGGCAGCTTAACTTTCTCTTTGTTCTGTATATTGATTCTAGTGTACTGTGGCTCTGTGCGCCGAGCCAGTGAACCACCCACCAGCTGTCCTTGCGGTGTCAGCGAAGTGAATAGGAGTTTGATAAAGTCACAGATGGCTTGCTGCTCCCACTCCTCCATAACTGCCATTCCTGATGTGTTGCTACATACACGGAGTCAATACAATTTCAACCGTTGGAGCTGAAAATGGATTAGGTTAGGTGGGGTTGAAGGTCCTATGGATGTTGCTGAGTTTGTTTGTCTGTATTGTACACATTAAAGCACACAAGGTTATTTTTTCACATGTGTGTGTTTCAGGCATTCACATGTGATGTTGAACCTGTTCTCTGCACAAAAGCATTATTATTGCCCTTTTTTAATTAATATTTTAATAACATTTTTGTAAATAGAGCATGATACATACATTTTAACAATAAGTGGAATTCTACCCTGCACTGATTTCCCCTGTGAATTTTATTCAGCACTAGTGCATCTTTTTGCTTGGAAGTATACCTGGGGATCAAATCTGAAACAGATTTTGCTGATGTGTACAACTGAGTAAGGCTGAAACTCATTGGGAGGCTTGGTCACATCATCAAGTGAAAGGACAACAATTGCAGCTAAACCAATTAATTTGAATGGAATTGCTATGATCAATAAATGCAGTCGTATGCAGAGACAATGTATATCTGGGCACATTTCTTTTTTCATCATATTTGTGCTAATGATCAATAGTAATCCGACTGACAGTGTTAATGTTTGATTGAATCCAGAGATGGAGAGGAAGCATCTGAGGCATATCCGCTTTTATTGAACCTTCCATTGTCTTCATTTTTATTTGGTTACTGCCAATATTTTGCAAGAATAGATGTATTTTTCTTTTCAAATGGAGGAATTATTTTGCAATAAAAGTTTCTGAAGAAACAAACAAACTCACAAGAAAATAAATAAAGTAAGTAAGTAGTGCTGCTGCATAAAGGAAGAGAATGTCTTTGTGGAAACTGCTATTCTTCATATAGAGCCACATCAAACCTTGCACGGCGGGCAAAGACGTTTAGTTGTTAGTAACACAATACTTCACTTGTGAACAGCATCAACACCCTGCAACCTCTGCTTTATATAGAGATGTATATATCACGTTGCACGAGCATTACACATATTTGAATGCTTTCCAAAAATGCTTGCATAGTATCATTTAAATTGTTTGCTGTTAGAAAAGTTAGGCTTTCCTTGCCTGAGCAGCACCAATTTATGTTTTTGAGTTCTACTGCCGGGCATTTCAAAGACTGTCATTGATGATCTGACAATGGATCTTTGAAATCTAAACAAGCTGAGTGCTCCAGACATGTTGCTGACCCTCTTCTTTCCTAGATACTGAATACCCCTTGTCTTATGTTATGTAACTTTCTCCTGGAGCCACCAGTGCTGACAGTGGCAGAATACAAGGACTGCTCATGTCTAGAAATGTCCTCCTTATACCCCTCCAGAGTCTTAGAAGTGAAAGGAGGAAGGACAAGGCGTCACTGTGACACAGAGCATTAGAGAACAAAGGAGCAAACTAAAAGCTTAGGTCTTTGTGCACTGAATTCTGACCCCTGCTGCCAAATGTAGGTTAAATATGAACGTGTTGTTGAGCTATTAGAAAATATATGCTTGCATATACACAAGTTGGAGTTGCCACAACTTTTTCTGTCTCTAAATCTGGTGTGGAAGACAGGAGAGTTGCTTTAAATATCCCCACACCAATACTCCAGCAGTTAGCTGGCCAGGTAGAGAGTTATAGCGCTCATCTTCCCTCTGTGGCTATTCATGTTGGCATTGGCAGTGGGTTGCACTTGCTCTCAAGGCACAATAATGGTCTCAGTCCAGTTGTTCATCAACCTTTTCTGCCATAATTTGCATTAAAGTGCTAGAGACTTGGATGTAACCTTAAAACTTTTTGTGCTAATGGCTAAATACAGCCCAAAGCCAGGAGCAAGTGTCATAAAACACCAATTTTATTGCACTAACATGCCATAAAGGTAATTGTCTTTCACACACACACTCTGGCACTTAAACACTGCTCTAAAGCTTAGTTTCCTCCAACGGTCACCACAAAGCCTCAAGAGTGCCACTTCACATTCCGCAGAGCCGGTTTAGAGACAGAAACCTTGAATAATACTATTAAATCACAGAAGAGGATATCATTATAATGCTGGATTGATTTGATGCTGTTACTGTATTTGGGGTATAGTTATTTTTCAATTTATAGTCACATCCACAAGCTTGAAAGTGCAATTGACCTTTGGCTGAGCGCTCGTCCCTCTTTGTAATCGTCATTAAACTTAACAAGCTATCTCTTTTGGCGTGGCACTTATGCAGTTTACAATGACAACCAACACACATTGACCATTGTAACTGTTGGTAATTCTTAAAAACTATGGGTCCTTGATTTCAGGCAGGTGGGCATAAGCAGGCTTTCCCACTTCTATCAAGTATCTTTTTTTTTTCTATCCCCTGTAGCTAGCTGGCTATTTAAACTAACGTTTTTCTAAAGAAACCCTATAAAGGGGATATGATCTTACTGGCTTCCAAAAAGTCAGCATCTTCACCAGTTCATGATCGATGTGGAATACATGAAAAATAATGAAATAGTATTTTGCTTGTTTTGCAATGTAGTGCTACTTTGTCCTGGCATTAAGCGGGAATCCATCCGTCTGTTTAGCTTACATAATTTGACAAGCAAGACACAGGTTGGATGTTTACTTTCATATTTTTAAGCAGTATATTTCACTACAAGAGAATAGGCTTTTAGAATAATGACTAACCACATTTGGTAAACATCGGAACTAACACAGTTGGCTAGATTGAGTTCAAACTTTATCAAATAATGTCAACAACAGGATGATGGATGTGTGAGCTTGAAGACTACTCTGTTAACATTTAGGACTGGCTTCCACATAGTGGTTGTATTATTGTTCAACATTTATATCCCTTGTATCCCTTTTTGGCCTTAGAGCAATTCTAGGTTAGTTCGCGAGTGAGCTGGTCATGCTAATGCTCGTAGTTTATGTTAGAGCAGATAAAAGTAGTGTTTAATGCATTACTCAAAATGTTGCCCTTGTAATTTGAGTTCTGAGGCTTAAAAAGGTAATTATACATAATTGTTTTAAACACAACCCAATGCTCACCACTTCAACATGTTGGCTTGTTGTAGCTAATAATGGTTGCTAACCTATGATTGAATGATTGAACAATATCTGTTTTGGGAATTAAAAAATGCTCAATTCTTCAAGTATGTTTCTGATTTATTTAGGTGAATGGCAATCACTTGGTTGTCCTGCTTTTTGTCTAGCATATTTACACTGACAATGAACCTTTCCTTTATCCCCCCAAAAATGTGCTAAATAAGTAGCATTCATTTCTCTCAATTTCATTCACATACGACATTCTGTTTCAAGTACCTAATTTTAGTTTCAAGAAGTTGCTTTCCAAGGCAAGAGTCTCTGTCAAAAAATGCATTCTCTTCTCTTTCATCGACAGTGTCATTTAATGAGAGGCACTTACAGTAGTCTCTAACACAATTAAGTGTTTCATGACACCCTCGGTAAGAAAATTAATCTCTCCAAATGAAATTGGTCTCAGTGCTCAGTATGTCACCCAGTGGGATGCAACTTCATTCCTATTCATTGACCCTCCATGACTTAAAGCTCATTTCCTGAACGTGTCGCTTCTCGAGGCTCCCGCAGCAGGATGCAGGCTTTCAACCATACCAGCTCAGAAAGCCTTCCCCTCTTTCCATTTGATTCAAGGATTAGATTTGATTACAGATTTGAGCTGGACAACCTCTGCGGAAGCCGTGCAATCCCCCCCTTTTTTTTTTTTTTAAGTCTTGTTAAATTTACATAAAGCAGACAGGATTTTGGCTGGAGATTCTTCAGATTTTCCCATGTTTCATGAGCACAACAAGGACGGTTACAACACATTAGAATAACACAAGTGTAGTCAAAGATCTAGGAATTCATTTGTTGACTGATATATTGCTACCATCAACTGTTTCTTCAGTGAATAGGTCCACGATTGGCATTCAAAAATCCTTTAAAATGACATTCACTTTTTGTCATTGGCTTGAACCTATATCTACAAACAATACACTGTTTCACTCTACACATCTTGTCTCAAATGTCATGTTCCTAATTAATAAAATGATTACTGTTCAACAACAAGACAAAGACATGTTTTTTCTTTTTCCCTTTGGTGGAAGTGTATTGTGTAAGTGTTTATGTAAACATAGTTTTGACAGCAGCTCTCAAATGAAGAGTACCATGTGCCACACAAGCAAAGAAATAATACAACCAAACTCTTTGCACACTCATAGTCCACATCTAGGACAGGTTGGCAGCAATAGAAAACGAGTAATACATCTTTTTGTTTTGCGTAGTCATGAAAATATCTGTTTTATACAAAAATTAAATACAGTTACAGTATGTTACAACTTTTTTTGCCCCTTTTACAGGTGAGCTCAAGCATGACTACAAAGCCTCTGAAAAAGAAAAGGAAAAAGTACTAGATTTGTCAAGGGGCTCGATAATAAGACATGTGCAGCATTTGGCAAAAACAACAGACACCCTTCAGCAAAGTAAATTCACCAGAGTCACTGAAGCACAGGGGGGAGAAGGTGAAGGAAAGGAGGGGAACAGTGAGGAAAGGAGATAGCAAGTCGGGAAGGAGGCTGTGAGGCAAGATGTTTTAAGATGTCCCCGTCCACATTATTATTTTTTAATAACTTCAGATGATACTTAGAAATCATGTGTCTAGTTTTGTACAGTTTGCTCTCAGAGTGTGGGCAGCTCTATCCCAGTCTTCAGTCTGCCTTTTAATAAAGTACCAGCCAATGACATAATCAAAAAGCGAAGGCTCCAGCCGCTTCCTCTGTGACACTATCAGACAGCAGTGACTCCACCTATCCCTTCACATACTGTATCCATTTAGCATTCAGTATAACAGATCAGTGCACAAGCTGTTGCACCAGTAACACTGTCACCCACCACTGTGGCCTTGGATGTACAAAAAAAGTTGCTTATATTGTATGCTGAGCACATTGTCCTGTATGTCCTTAAGGTTGAAAGTTCAATCTCAACGTATGTGGTTTTAGGGTTTTGGTCGAGGATGAGAGGCCGTTCAGGTCTCTCAGCAAAGGGAAACAATCAATAGCGGGAGCACTACGAGGGTAAGTGCGAGCTGGCGGATGATGGGGGGATGATGGAAGGAGTCCTGTCCAGACAGTTGGTCGTCACACTCCCCGGGGCCCTGGCAGCGAGCTCTCTCACACAGGACGCCGGTGAAGCCGGGGGAACAATGGCACCGCTGATGATGGTGGCAAGTGCCACCGTTCTGACAGCGCAGCATCGCGTTGTCACACACCCGAGCTGCAGAGACAAAGCAAAAAGGGCAGGGGAGACAGGAAGGGGTGATTAATAGATCACTCAGTGATAGGGCGGCTGAGAACATCAACAGGCAAGTTCACAGGGCACAAGCTGCCTCTTCTTGTCCTGTCTGCATCGCTCTGTGTCCTTAGAGCACAGCTGACACATTAAGGGAGGGTGAAGCCAAGGACTTTGTGAAGAAGTATGCAGAGGAGGAGGAGACAGATAACCAGAACACATACTATATGAAAACTAGAATGTAGTCCACAGCCTGTGACAACCCCTTTCCACATTTGTTATGAAAAACAAGCACAGACAGACATTTTAATGGATTTATGGATATTTTTAGAAGCACCAAAGGGACTTCAGGGCAAATCCTGGCTCAACAAAAGAGCAAACGAACCATGGCAGTGATGAGGTAAATTAACGATTAGTGAATCCAGGGATGCCAGAGTATTGTGAAACAGCCCCCCTGTGTGGGACAGGAGAATTACATTTTGCTTCCCTGTGGCACAATGAAACCTGAAGAACAGAGAGGAGAAGACAAGGGATGGATACCTGCACCTTTTGATATGCAAATAAGCATGTTCAATGATAAACAAATTGCTGTTATTTTCTTTCTGGGTTAACCTTACAAGAAACAATACAACACTATTAGGATATAATAATGTAACATCCTGACCTGCACTGTTCTAATTGCCACCAAACATTTCTTTGTTTTGATATAGATTGATTAGGACTATAACCTAATATTCTCATTTCTAGACAATAAATCACAACACAATTATTCCAGGAAGCCTTTCCGCTGGCAGAGGTGAAATCCTGGAAGAGGTAATGTTTGCCAAGACATTTCATTGTAATTGGATATCTCTGCTTGCATAAATAGTAATCACATTTTTGGTTTTCGGTAATGTGTCTCGTGCATCAGAATACACGTTAGAAGAAAAATAATTGCTCCTGCCAAAACTATTAAAAATACACTGGTATTGCATTTAAGTTAATAATATTCCACTTCCCTTCACACAGACGCTGTTATGTGCTTTAAATGGATATTTCACCTGGGGATAAAGGAGATTTTATGGGATTTGCAATAATTCTGTGATGAATTGTTCTAAATTACTCTTTAGGTAAAACCACTTTCCTTGCGTTGTCTGCCTCTACTTCCGACAACCCTGAGAGGCTGGGTATGTCAGCCTTCTTGTGTTGAACTGTTTTTATGTATTTATAGACGGATTGATAATGATTGCATTATAAGAGCAAATATAGCTGCTCTTCCAGTCAGTCTCCTGACTGCATGATGGATTTCTCCCTGAATGACTGTTGAACACTGGTGCGAAATAATGAGACTGCCAAGAATCCACTGCTCTTTGATGACATTTCCAATTGATGTATTAGATGTAGTACAAATGTTAGATCACAAAACTTGAATCGCTGCGGGAAATATATCATAAGGTTTATAGAAGAAACACAAAATACACACACTACTCTGATCAACAAGTCATGTCATGAAGAATCTGTTTGTTTAGATTCAGGCCAATATTTTACTACATATCTTGGAATAGCCGTAATCCAAAGCAAGAATAGAATAACACTTAAGTGGCTATAAACCATATTTATTAAAAGTAAACCAAATGATATACCAAATTGTTATACATAAAATAAATTCTGTGATAACCAGTTCTACAGACAGTTATTTTTGTGAATTTCAACTCTCATAAAAATAAATGCTAAAATGTTTCTTGTCTGCTGGATGTGTGAATAAATTGATTGCAATACCAACTTAACATTTGATAATATATCAGCGTAGTATTCACAGATCATCTTAACTGGTCCCAAGTGGCCAAAAAATCAGTAATTGCAGGTTTGATGACCATTTAATTTGAGTGTACATCTCTAATCCAATGCAAAATTGCGATGTCCATATTTGTCAAGTAAAACAACTCCTCCACAAATGACATAACATATTTTGCAAACACAGAAGTAACGTGTTAATATTAGTTGGTATTAATATCATTTCTTGAAGAGGTCCCCCTCTAATACTAGCGTACGAGTATAGGGCTTTGACCAAGTCTGACAGGACCAAGACTTATAGTGAGTCCATTTATGCCCAACAAAGTAACACATTACTAATGCAAGAGTGTTTGTAGTTGAACTTTGCATGCATTAAACCAGACTCCTGAACTACAGAGTGCTGCTGCCCTGTCCTCCGTGGGTTCAAACATTAATGGCCCGGTGGCTCCACCCCAACCACTAATTTTCAAAGCAGCTTTCTTATTTTACAGCTAATGGAAAACACCTGCGCTCTGTGTTTTGGTGAAAAATTACCATGGGATCAGCTAAGTCTCCATTAAGGTCTACACATTAACTTTGTTTCCTGTGGCCGAAGAGTAATCTCTCTGTCCTCCAGCGGACCCTCAGGACCGTTGTCTTTCTAAAAGCATCTGTAGCCCAATTCGTTTTCTGATGCTGAGGCTTAAGCCTGCGGTGTACTTGTGGAGCCACAGGGCCCTGCTGCCAGGACAAATACTGAGGGGAGAAAAGGGAATTATTTTGTGTTGCTTAAAGTTAAATCTCACTAAGTGTTATGGTATGTGTGAAATAATTAAAAGTTAGTAAGTTGGTACCTTTTATTTACTATCCAGTAGAGACATGAACATTTTAGTGAACCTTTTGAGTAACACATAACAGTTAGGCAAATGTGATGTTAGGCTATATTTTTACTTTCTTTCTACAATACGTGAAATTAAAAATGGGATTATTATTTCATAATAAAAAGCCAGTCATTCATATGAAAAGGAAAAATAATGTTTAAAGGGTCAATTTATATCAATATCAATGTATTATATCCTATGTTTTTCCATCTCCACTCTGTTTATAACACGGCCTTTTGATTTAAAATGAGGAGCCTCCAAACCCAAGCATTAAAAACCCAGATGACAGCAGTACTCACTGAGATGAGTAGACTGTACTTGTTCCACCCTTACAATTGATAATAAAATTGAAAATCTTTCTTTTTGAATGATTTATACAACTGTCTCTTCTGTAGGCAAGCTGACACATGCCCTGTGTTACTTACTTTCTTACACTTACTCTTGGACTTGTGCTGGCAGCAAGTGAGAACACAGCAATATGAGTCCTGGCTAAGCTGGTACTCTCTCTGAGACATATGTGCACCTCACACCTCCGTCAGATGTGTGACATTTTAGTTGTATAACTGTTGTGACAGATCCAGCCTTGGGCCTTGGTGTTACACGAAGCAACATGGAGAAAATACAGCACAGCAACAGCACAATAGTGAGAGATAGGAAGGACAAAGAGCTGCATTTCATTTCATACTGCTTCTTCCAGAGGACAAAAGAAAATGTGTTTAGGAAACAGGGGGTGTATTCTGTTTTTCGACTGATAATACTACATTGAGAACATCACATCTGTGTTGAGATCAGCAGGAAGAGAGCTAGTTAATGCCCTAAGATGAAGCTTTTTTGTGAAAGATCTCCATCATACATACTAAAGAAGTTCTAAAGAATAGCCAACCTTTTTTAAAATGCGCCAAATTGTCGTTAACCCTCCTGTTGTCTTCGGGTCAAATCTGACCGATTTACTACTTTCATCAATCATAACTTTTTTGTTTTACATTCGAATGCATTAAAGGTGGGCTAGGTAATTTTGGAGAAACCAGCTCGAGTGCGCTAGAATTTGAAAATACACAGCCGGAAAAAATCTGCCACTTCCTTACAGAGCCCCTCCTCCAACACACACGTACGCGCACATGACCAATGAGGGCACGAGATAAGTGTGTGGAAGGCTGACAGGCAGGTAGGCCATCCAGTTATTTTAGCCGGGCCGGCTAAAATAACTGGATGGCCTACCTGCCTGTCAGCCTTCCATCTGTGCACAAACTTATCTCGTGCCCTCATTGGTCATGTGCGTGTTCGTGTGTGTTGGAGGAGGGGCTCTGTAAGGAAGTGGCAGATTTTCAGTTTGCAGTTTGTGCACAGATGGAAGGCTGACAGGCAGGTAGGCCATCCAGTTATTTTAGCCGGGCTGGCTAAAATGATTGGTCGTGCTTTTTACAGTACTACAGCTTCCACAGATGACATTTTTTTATGGATGTTTTGTCAAAGCACTTAAGATATTCATTGCTATCGGGATGTTAAGAGCATTCCATGGAATATAACAAAAAGTGTATCTCGAGCCGGTTTCTCAAACTTACCTACCCCACCTTTAAGGCTTTATGATATCCTTCACAGTAGACATTTGAACATATACAATTGCTGATCACCACTTTCATTGCATTTTGGATGATTTAGTCAACTTTGTAACACCCATGGTGGTAAATGAACACACACACACACACACACAGACAGACAGACAGACAGACAGACAGACAGACAGACAGACAGACAGACAGACACACACACACACTCTAGATGTGTTGCCCCCCATGTGAACACCTGACAAACACACACACAGAACAATTTGACACATTTCCCGCTCGTATGTGCCCATCCCCCCACATGGATCACACCTGGCACACGCAATACATGTTCAGTGTCTATTCTTTGTATATGTACTGCAGTTGTTCATGTATACCAGTAGTCTGATACAATATTTACAGTTTGAAAGGGTGTTAAATGAAATGTGGTGATGATTAATGGTTTTTGTGTTAATGTAATAGCAGTTAGAACAGGACCGGTCAAATTTTGACTGCGAACACCAAAGTAAGGGGGGGGGAACGAAGACAATAGGAGGGTTAAAATACCTAATATTGCACAAATCAAGGCGGATAAGAGCCCAGGGACACAGCAACACATAAACGGAAGCAATACAGAACGGTTTGTGGATATATATAGTTTAGGTATTCATAGTGATTAATTGAATATTTTAAATAGCTTTAATAACTATAGATTCACCATAGCAATCAACTATAACTGGAGACAGTTTTCAGATACAGGATCTTCTAATTATAAGCTCTGAGACAGAATAGTGTTGCTTCAATTACATTGGATCAATATCTTTTGCCATGGTGTCAGAGTAAGCTGAAACCCGCGTTCAGCCATGCCTCGTGTTATCATATTAACATGAAGGTTTCGTCATTAGTCATGACTCGAAGCTCTGAAGTTCAATACCGGGTGTTAGCTGCAAAGAAGCATTTTAAAGTAGGCATACAATATTGCATCTGAAGACGGAGAGGCGTGGTTTTCATTTTAAACATGTCAGGGTTGGTAAATGCTGGGAAATTGTTTAACATTATTTACTTGTTGAGAGTTTTTCTAAGCTAAGATAAACAAGAAAGCAATACACATACTTTTAAACATTTCAAGCTGTTCCTTTTAAATTATAGGATCTTTGAAAAATATTTGGGGTCTATCTATAATTGATGTCCAAGAGGCAAACAGTGTAAGATTGCTTTTCTTTTTAGATGTCAGAAAGGCGTTTTCTTTTTTGGCCCAGCAATAACAATTCCAATTCAACTTTGTTCAGGTAGTAACGATACAATAACATTTAGAATGCAAGGTTTTATTGCAAAAGCTAAATAACTTCCTTTTGTTTATTCCAGAATAATTAAAATGCCACCTCCCATGCACTAAACAAGGATATTCCTATGAAAACACCCACTGTCATGGGCATTTAGAACTGCTGAAGTAAATGCAGAGAATGCAGCACACGCTTTTCATTGACATTGTTCTCGGTGAGATAGATGCTGTGTTCTGACACTTTATATGGAAATGATGCAGATTACAAAGGAAAAGTGTTATTCACACCAGTCCAGTTTGTTTCACCTCTGACGCTGGTACATCTTGTTCCCAGCTTTAAAAGCTTCGATAAGAGAAGAAACACCCTCTCTTGATTGTGGAAATCCTGAAAGTCCTCTTTTCATTGTTTTTTCTTGTGGCTCTGAGAGCAGTGATGCAGATGCAACTTAACACTCACTACACAGGATATCTGGGCCGGAGGATTAGCTTGAGATAGCTGGAGATCAATCTACATAAACCCCCCTCGAGCCTGTTCTCTCCTTCCCCTCTTTCCTTTTTCTCCTTGCGAACATGGCAGAAAGGGTGCAACCCCAGAGAGCATTCTGAGTAATTAAAAAGAGGGCATGATCAAAGAGGTTATGAGGCTGTGGACTTGGTGATCATGAGGCATGTGGTCGATTCCCTATGGTGTTCTCACAACAAAAGGTCTACCTTGTAAGGACCAGTGTGTGTTTGTGTGCATGCAAGATGAAAGCACCTGGGCTTTGGGAAAACAATCAACTCCATACCTCTATTAGCATATTCTACATTACACTTTTTTTTTCAAATCGCCAATCAATAAGCAATCAGTTGTTGCTATGTATTGTTAATGTCATGCTGAAGTTACAAATCCTATAAGCCTACCTTGGTTACGATTTGCAACACCAAGAGATGAAGCATTTGCTCGATCTGTGTAAAAATAGGAAAGGTTATATATTACACTGGGTTGAAATATATTTCATGGTGTTATTTAGTTAAAGCACAGTAACAGCATGCAGAGATTTTAAATATATATAAATAGATATATATTTTTACAATAATCGGTACGTTTGTGGGCTGATTTTCCTTAGAATTATTGGAGAGTTTCTTGTGTTTTAGAGTAGTAAATGGACTGATGTACTGTAGAAAAGTGTGCATGCAGACTTGATGAGTGAATCCCCAAGACAAAATGCAGAGACATACATATGGTAGCTGCTTTTGTTATCCATTATTAGGAGTCCCCTTCAGGCATCAACACAGATAAGATGCATGGTGGGAGCCATGTCTTCATAGCAAAAATAATTGTTTTTTCTCTGGCTTTGGGCCAATATCTGTCTGTTCGCTTAGAGCAAATATTCTAGAGTAAAAGGGAGAACATTTTTCTCAATAGTGCCTGCATATTCACAGGCCAGCACATTTAGGACTCCTATTGTATTTAATGATCTAGAAAATATCTTCTTTAACCTTAAACTGTTATCGTTTTTTCTAAGTTTGTTAACTAAAAGTCTATACTTCATTAATTACTGCTGAAGATTTTGCAAGCCATGCTGCATACTGGTTGGATGGATGCCTGGAAAGAAGGAAACGTCTGTGGCTTCCCTTTTAATCCATTGGTCCATTTTCTATACGGCTATTTCTATTCATTTCTATACAAGATTTTAATAGGCCTTTTAAAACCTGGGTGGGGTCTGTTATTCAAAAAAACATGAACAAAGCTTTATTTTTCAGACAAAGCATTGGCTCACTTAAGATAAGGTTCTGCATTATTGCCTTGTTAGGATGGATATTTTTCACTGTAGAAAACATAGTGATGAATGAAGATGATAATACAGCACAACCCCTCACACCAACTTCATACGTCAAACAAGTGTCAGTCATGACTGAGGGAGGAAACCACAAGTCAGCATGCCAATTAAAAAAGTCTGATCAACTTACGCACTGGTCCATGGTTACTGGGGATACCTGTGGAAAAAGCAGGGACAGTGTTTCATGAAATCATGAACTAGTTTCATTTTACTCTTGAAACTTGAGTCATGAAACTTCTAGAGGAAACAATATTGTTTGCTTTGAATAATTCAAAGCCGAGCAGGCAGCACTTGGTCTCCACTGTGTCCACTGATTAACAGCAGTCATTGCTCTGCAGAGAACCTGACCACATGGTCCAACACCCTGATGATAATAACAGGTCTGCCAATGACGAAATGTCAACGGAATCAAAACTCTATGCGGTAAAGTAATTTTCATCAGGATTTTCATTTATCTTTTAACTTAACATTCTGTGGACCGCTTGCTTCCTTTTTGTTATTGGCTTGATAATTGTAATTGTTTACAAATCTCTGAATGAAACCAGTCAAACAGCATCTGCAAATCATTCAAAGTGTTTGTGTAATCTTCTCCTTCTCAAAGGTCAGTGGGATTTATGATATAAAGAAAACAGATGTTAAGCCAATCAAATAAATGAAATTACAAATATGTTTTGGAACATTTGCCCATGATTGATTTTCAAAATAAACACAGTCGGCTGGAAGAACAATTATAGTCTTTTTTCAAGCACTGTTATATTCAAAAGTCAGAATTTGGCAACCCTGTTCTAGTCTTTGTCTAAAACACGTGTTATCAGTGTCTGCCCGTGGATTCCCCATCTTTGTGTTGCATTAATGTAATCAGCTTTGTCTTGCCCCATAGTTTGAGCAATTTCTGGTCATTTTCTCATGCTTTTCCTCTTCTGTCATTATGTTACAGTGGGATTTTCATATTGTTTGCACCCCATTCATCATGTCATTAGCAGTTTAGGGCTGTCACAACAACGGCAAGCAGATGTTATGCTCCAATTTGCAAGAAAAAAGCAAGCTTAAATTCCTAACCAATAGTTGTTCTGTGTGAGAAATGGAGGGCAAACAATATTGCCCTTTTTAAAGCCAAAGCACATTCTAAAAACTGATCAAACTCTCAGCCGCAACCCCTCTTAACCTGTGAACCTGCTTTGGAACTCAAGATGAGTTGACGCTCCCTGCAAAGTGGACTGTCAACATAATTCTCAAAGTGATTCCTCTTCTGCTCTGCAGGATTTTTTCCCTCCTTTTGAAAGCCTAGGATTTGAATCACTCTCAGTCACTCTAAGCCGCTGACAGCTATGGCCCATAGCAACGCAGGGCTCCATTTTGGGCTCTAATTTATTAGATGAAGGGTCACGTATGTCCATATATCTACATGTGCAGGGATTTGAATATGTAATAGACCTCACCCTGTTCCTATCTGTGAAATAAATGACTTCCATGATTAAAGAGGAAAATTGATGACAGATGAAAGCTATTAAACTATAATTACATTTTGCACGTTCTGGATATTTGTCTTGATACGAGGCCTGTACGTTTAATATCCTTAAAGGGAACATGAGCTTCACATAATGGATAAAGGCATGTTACACGGCCTAGGGCGTTACTTATGAGAGAAATAAGAATAATTCAAGACCAAAGTTTGTTAATTTAACACCTGGGGGACCAATATTGTTACGTCACATGTGCAACATTATTGCATTTTATGCCACTGCCAAACAAGTGCTAATATTGCTTTTGATATGGCTAGACCTTTGTTTCATCGGTTCAGTGCAGATGCGGCCAAGTGTTGGATTTTTTAATAACGGCCTGTCAATCTGACAGTGAGCACCACATTGCAGGGAGGCTCATAACACCGAGGAGGTGCAGGGGCAAATCCAGCAATATCTCCTTAGAGCTCACAGACGTTCCTAAAAACAAACTCCCACTCGCAATCAAATGGGTTGCATGTGCACACACACATCCACACCGTTTCTGTGCTCATACATGCATGCACACACAACCACAGACACATAATACTCATACAAATGACCGTGTAATTGTCCAATTCATCAACACAAGCCCAAAGAAGAGCAAGATGAGGTACTGTTACTGACTGCACAAATGTACTCGCACTAAATCAGTAGATCAATAGCAATATCACATGTCTGGTAAATAATCTAATCAGATCACCATGTTAGAGAATTCAAGTCAGACAATCAAACTGAGCGTCGGGAAAACCTGCTGTCAATCCCCGCAGATGTCTGCCATGAGAGTTGCTGACTGTGAGTCTGAATCAGTGTGAATGGAGGACCAGAGGGCTAGATCTTCACCATCTGGCCTCGCCTGGCCGTCCACCACCACATCCATGAGCGGCTGTATTAGATTTATTGAGGCAATGAGCCCCCTGCCTCAGGCGTGGGATTTGATAAATGCGACTCAACTCCCATCCAAGATTATAATGGGGATAATGCAAAAGAGCACCTTCTGCCTCAGAGATACCGTGTGAACGGGTAAAGAAATACCCAGCATTATTTCACACTTTTCATGGTGTTGAGGCAGGAATAATACATTAAATGTGTAATTATTGGAAGGATGGTTGCTATATACTGAATGAGCAGAAAAAAACACATTATTTATTCCCTACAAATCAACATACCCAACAAGGGCCTAAGGGGGAAATGACTCTTATGACTGTTCCAGCATCACTATGGTTCAAGTATAGGTTATCTATACCCAAATACCTGTTAACAAAAAAATGCTCATTGTCTGCTTGCAAGCCTTTCCAGGAGCTTCCAGCTGTATCCTACTATTTTACTGATTTAAAATTGGACTAAAATAATTCCCTAAGAGTCGGCGGACAGCCAGAAAAATACTTAGCTGAACACAGACACACTCCAGCAGACAAGATCAGTGCATGTGTTGCTAATTAGCTTAAAGGTAACATTTGTACAGTTTGTAAATAGATTTTCTTCGGTGCAAATCCATGCAAAAGTAATTAGTAGTAAATTAGACGTATATCTACCATTACATTACAAATACTCATATACTTACATATATTTGCGGTTCCTTTGGGTATGGGGAGGTAGGAGCCCACACTCCAGGCTCTTCCGTGGTAATGCCTCTTACAGCGGCTGCAGTCTGGCCCTGTGGTGTTGTGTTCACACTCACAGCCCAGCTTCCCCTTGTCAAACACACAGCTGTTGGCATGCAGGTTACACTTGCACCTGAGACAGAGAGATAACAAAAGACAGACACATGAATGGGCATCATTCTGCATCCATTGAATCAATAACCTCTGGAGAGAATAAACAAAGTCTGCCTCTGCTGCAGCGTGTATTAGTGCTTTTCAAATGTTTTGACAGGAGTACATTGAAATCCTGGTGGGTTATCTGACTCGGATCATACCTTCACAAAGCGTCATTGTGCTCTTCATTTGTCTCTGCTTATGTGGAGAGAACAGTGAGGCAAATAACGTTACTTTTGCCACCCTGAGAGCTAGATAAAAGGCAATCTGTGAGATTCGCTAATTGAGCGAAAAACCGGGATCTGATAGAGATGAAGAGGAGCTGCGTAGCCTGAGAGTTCTCTTTTCTTTCTTTTCAAAGTCTTACATTGTCATTTGGCTAGGGAGCCTTCAGGCAGGAGACCCTAGAGGTTGACAGAGCTGGTTTATTAGACAGAGCTGTTACAGATGCTCCTGACCGTAGAGGAGAGAAGGCCTGACAACTTTTCAACACTTAACCAAATATAGCCCCTAGTTTGACCAAAAAGAACAAGTGTGCTTGTCTTTCCAAGATTTTGGGGAAAACACAAGTTGGTTTATCTCAATCTTGTGTTTCTAACAGAATCAGAATGAACAGGGAGTTCATTATTTGTTCTCAGAACTGTTGTGAGACAGAAATGCAGTGTTTGATGTCCAAAGAGATACTACAGTTTCATATTCAATGTGTATTCCAGCTATCATTTTCTATATTTTAGTCATAAGAGGGTAAAAGGTGACACCTCAGTAACCTAGGCTTCCAAGGACATTACGGGGTGATACATAATGAGTTGAATGAGGGGGAGGCAATCGGCTCTATCTGACACACAAACCCTCCCAAGTGGTTCGGGCGGCTCATGGTTTCACATCAGTCCTATGTTTGTTTTTACAAAGTGCTTCCAAGGGAAGATTTCTCCCTTTTGAGAGTGAGGTATCTGTTGCCTACAATCGCCAGTGAACATGAGACGGAGAAATGACAGCAGCCATCCAAAATACATCCATTCTAATTGACTGCCTGACCTTACTGTGACGTCTCACATTAATGATAGATAACTGCGGGAAACTGTAGCCTGGTATGTAAATCTGATGAGCAGTATAGAAGTCAGTGAATATGTTCTAAAGTAATGTGGGTGTCTGGTAACATCCACCTATTGGTAACACTTTAAAAGCACAATTCAGCATTTGTAAGTATCATACGAAAACATACTACATATTTTTATTTTGTTTTGCAATAATTTCTTTATAGATAAATATACCGTACAATTAAGAGACCACTGCAAAATGTCAGTTTCTGTGGTTTTACTATTAATAGGCATGGTCTAATAGAATGAACATGTATTGTTGATTTCGAAACCACTGACAACATTTCTCCCACACAAAAAATATATTAAGATAATTGTCCAGATCTTGCAAAATTCAGAAAGAGGGACATTGGGAAGACATTTTGAATAATACTTGTCATTCATTCATTTCATTTCAATCTTTATTTCGAACAGATTACAAAATAACAAATAAAAAATAACAAATGTGAAAAAACAGAATACCGTATTGTTAAAATACAGTATTTATCCACATTCACGATAATATTTATATATTCAACAAAAAAAATCTTCATATTAATAATAATAATAATAATTAAAAATAAATAATACTTGTGAATTGTGATTATAATTGCTTACTTAACAGAAGTTTCAAACATAGCACAACCATTGGGACACTGGACTGGTGTTTAGCCTCACTGCGATTTAACGACATAATTTGACCATTTTCTATAACTCAAAGTAAAATACTCCCCAAAACCTAATGTGACCATGCAGAAAATCTAAGATGATCATTCACCAGAAAAAATAATTGTCATTTAGCTGGGAAATGGATTTCCAATACTGCCACAACAATAAAGTTCCAAACAACAAAACTTCTTTTGTCAATCTTTAAAAGAAAATCACCATCTTTCCTCGGGTTAAGTGCTGTCTCACTACATACAGTAATGGATGTGACTGAATACCAGATCACATTCACAGCAACTAAACACTAGTGCCTCTTACCCCACATTCCCCAAAGTCCTTCACTTTTTAATCAATTAAAGTCCCTGCTCCATAAAATTAATGACTGGGTGCAGCTCTTCTGCCATGCAGACAGCAGCAGCTCCCTGAAGTCAAGTGCGATGAGATTTGACCTTCCACTTAATTAAAAACCAGCAAAATCTGGATCATCGAGCCCAACCGGTGCGCGCGGCACGCTGATAGAGCAGATGATGGGCACTCCGGGGAGCTCTGGGATGTAATGCTTTTGCCGCTGGCATTGTCATATTGCAATCAGAGAGGTTTTTTGTCCCTAATTTAGCCACAAGAGGGAAGAGATCTACTGTATGTCCAGCCTTTTCAACCTGCACCATTATGAAAACAGATTTTATAATAATGTAATGACCTTTAAACCAGTGTACAGTCAAATAACAATTGATATTTTCCAAACAAGTGACCCTCCCCTAGGAGATACTGGAAATCATCAAGCGTCCTTGACTCTAACTCATCAATTGCATTTGTTCAGCTTGGGGTAAAATGCTCTTAGAAAGGATGAAAGGAAACTGTTATGGATGTTTGTTATTGTTCTGGTGTCTTTCGTGCCACAAAGGAATAGTGGGAGTGATTACTGTACAAAGATGATACTATCAACATCTTGGTGTCTTCGAATGTAATCTTGGAAAATGTGATATTTTGCAAGAAACCTTATTCAAGGTTACAGTTGCTGCAAGGCGATATTTTGAAAGCAATATGAAATATCTATTGAAGAAGAGCGAGGTAAATATGACCTGTTACATTTCCAAACAAAATCAGTATTCACACTGTAATAAAGTAATGTGTGTTACATTTTTGTGTTCGTTTTTTACTGTAGTATTACATTGGTAATGCAATGGCAATATAGTGTTGTGCAATCCCTAGTTGAGGCAAATCATACATTGTTGTACTTCTTTTTAATACCAAATAGTTTAAATGAAAATAGTTTACAGAGAGTCTTTCATTTTCCAGAGTAACTAGAACATCACCTCTGTTTCATTTTGTGAATTAAATGTGTTCATTAACACCACAAGTAATTCCCTTCACCTTCTTTGAACTAGCCAAACGGCTCGCTGCACCAGCACTACGAGGGGGACCCAAGTTCCCATCAGCAAAAACACGTCGGTTTGCTATCCTGACTCCAAAATGGTGGAATGAGCTCCCCATTGACATGAGGACAGCAGAAAGCTTACACATCTTCCGGCGCACACTGAAAACTCATCTCTTTCGACTCCACTTCGAGCAATAAAATGACTAACAAAGCACTTATATACTAACAAAGGACTGGCTTATCTAAAGCCAGTTGAGTAGCACTTGAAATGTGTTGGCTCTATGAAACCAGTACTTATATGATTCTGTTTTCTTCAAGTTTGTATCTTCTTGGTCGAATGCACTTATTGTAAGTCGCTTTTGATAAAAGCGTCAGCTAAATGCAATGTAATGTAATGTAATGTAGCGTGAAGGCATTGTATAAGAAAAATCTCAACGCTATCTGCAAGGTTAAATCCCATTCAAGTAGAAGCATATATGTATTTTATTGATGTATTCAACAGGATGTACTTTAGGCTTTGTCTCATTATGAGTGTTGTCATGACCTTCTTTGTTACAAACTACCTTCTTTAATCCTCATAATCAAAACAATTATAATGTTCTGCATCTTATTAATGCTTCATCTAGTGAATAATGAGACACAGATACTGGACTATAATTGTGGCCTTAGAATGGGCACGCTAAATGTAACGGGACAAATCTCTCCAGTCAAGTAAAGGTGAGGCTAGGGGCTAATTTGTTGATATTCTGGAGCAGACAGCAGCAGTGCCCTGTCTGCCGTCTAACCTTGGCTTCTCCTGGATACTTGGCACTGTGTTGACAGGCTCTCTGAGTCTAACACAGCTTTTCTTTTTTGTGACAGCTTCTACTGTAGCGTCTCTGATTCAAGACAAGAGAGGAGCACAGCACTCGTTAAAAAGGAAACTCAAAGTACGAGCGCCAGAGCTGACGGGTTAGGAAAACTGTTCAACCTTTCAGAGACTGCTAAGAAAAATCACATTAAAGCCACTTAAAGTGAACATTTTTGCTTTACTTACATGGATGTTTCTGGTCTTGGCCACATTTACAGTAATCAAACTTTAAACTGAATTAACTGCATTCTTGCAAGTGTAAGTGTTTCACTGTAAAGCATACAGCCTTGAGGTAATTGTGAAAGACTACAAAGAGTATGATATAACTTCCATCTGTTGCATTACCTCTCAGACAAACTCCCAGTTGATAAATGACACTGAACAAAAAGATTCTGAGACAGTTTCTTCCCGCGGGCAGTGAGACTGTTAAACAATTGAACTGCTAAAACAATTTCATAACATTCATCTGCTACTTAGTAATATATATCTACTATCTAATATATATCATTCCAATAACTTGTATATAGACTCGTACTGCACTATTCCACTTTTTCTTTTCTCTCTCACTTTATTTTAGAACTATTTTTCTTTTTGTATTACTTTTACTATCTGTATTATTATGTTGCATTGTTGGAGAAGCCTGTGACCTAAGATTTTCAACGACATAATTACTCTGTAGCTATGTTAGTTTGACAATAAAGAACCTTGAACCTTGAACTCGGTGCCAAGCGATAGAAATGTTTGAATAGGGAGACAACACAGTTATAAAAAGACATAATAAGATGTCTAAGTGCAGATAATGAATAAAGCTGGATTAAAGTAACTGATAGGTGATGTTTTTTTAACCCATGCCACCCAGTAGAGGTATCTTTGTTTGAAAAATGCATTAAGAATGTAAGGAAAAATGTGGCTTTGAAGCCTACAATACATCAAACCTATACGGCTATATGCCTATTGCTTTAACAGCAACAACACAACGATATGAGCCTGGTGCTCTCTATGATTCATCT